AAGTGATCTTAAAAGCCATACTTCATTGAAAAAGCTTCATAGCACACTCACAACAGGTTAACTTACAAGGGACGATGTTTCCATATCTGTTCTTATTTTTATTGTCCTGTAAGTACGCGTTGTCGCACAAGAAATCTCGTCCAACATCGAGTTTCTGCAATAAAAGAKGWTAATGTCCACATTTTCAGCGACATCTTTTGACAACATTCAAGAAATTTTCRGCATTTCGCTTACATTGTACTCTATCATAAACCCCCGATCATCTGACTTGTGCAGTTTGTGTACATGTTTGGCAAAGTTCTCCATGGGTATCGGAGGGTGCTCAGGGTCGTTGATGACCTCCCCAGGTACTGCCAATGGTCGCTTCTTACCAGCTGAAAAGAAATTAAAGACTTAATCCAAACAAACTTCTTTGCCATGATTGATATCATTGCCAATTGATAGGAGAAAGCAGAGAAGAGAAAAAATAATTCTTAGTAAGCACAGGAAGCCCACTGCCTGGAAATAAGGTCACAGATAATCAACTAACCAAGACGTTTGAGTTCCAAGTCTCTAAATCGACGTCTTGACTTTGCCTTGGAATTCTCAACATCAACATTAGCTTTTAGAGGTCTCTTGGATCTATTATAAAAAAAATTAACATCATGTGATCATCATCATCAAATGAACTGTCATTATCCATTATCAACATCATCATGAAGTGAGAGCATCATTACCTTTTATAAAGTACGATAGCGGCAACAATAATAGTGATCAGAATCAAGAAACCAACAATGCCCGCTATAAGACCTATCATGTTGTCATTGCTCTTTTTTAATGTTGGGTCTTTAGCTAAAAAAATAAGCAAAATATAATTAGAATATAATTATGATTAATAAGAAGTAAAACACTGGCCAAACCTGTAATTGGAAGATTTTTTGTAGCTGGAACTCCATAAATCCATTTCTAAATCAGATTATTTCAAATTATAAATAAATGGTAATGTGGRTGGACAGATTGGGTGAATTAAAATAGATTTCAAGGGTTAACAACACTATCCATGCTATTCTTTGGGCCATGAAAATTACCAATTTTTTACTATAAAAGACTGATTAAAATTGTAAGATAAAAGTCATATGTCAGGACAAGAATGACGTACTTACCCCATCTCCATCCTTTGTGACACCTCGAATATACACTCTGTACCTTGTAGAAGGTTCGAGAGGCGCGTTGTAATATCCATCATAGTTTTTACGATCTCCGAGTACAAATTTTGCTGGGACATTGGAACCACGGAACTCGGCCGCAACGTAAAACCGTGATCCGAGTCTCATAGCCTCCTTGTAACCATAGATCTGCTTGGGTAATGGATCTAGACTTCGTTTTGTTATGGAACCAAGCATCTCGACGATAACTTGATGGGCACTGAATAGAAAAACAATTGAACACAAAATTAGAATAATATAGAATTATCTATGGAAACGATTTTCATGTATGACTTTCAGTACTTTGAAATAGTTGGTTCTTATTTATTTTATTTTTTTTTTCACTAATAAACTATTAAAACAGTTCTTCTTGCTTATTAACACTAAATACAGGAACAATATTCCAGGAAATACGAATCCAACAATATTATTCTAAGTGATGAATTACTGGATAATAACCATGGTTTATGTGTAATACTTACATGATTTTCCCATGACTTTGTGCTGATGAATTGAGRATGATAGTGATAGAATTGTGATTGACACTATCTATGATGGTGTCAGGATCCATCGGGGCAGGTGGTGCTGAGAAACAGAAAAGACAGTTTAAAGGACTTTAATTGAAKAGCCAGAAGACAACAGAAGTTCAACTGACAAAGGAAACAATAAGAATGATTATCAATATTACACACTAAACAACAACAACAACAAAATGGTAAAATAGCAAAAAAGACAACTGAAATTACAAGAGTAATGAAGAAAAGAAGAGAAAAAAACAMTAATTACCTTCAGAATCTGTGTGCACATAGACAGGGTTGCTCTTTTTTCCTTCACCAACACTAGTCTTTGCTGTTACTATCACTTCATATTTTGTTCCAGGCTTTAATCCATCAAAAACGATTTCTGTTTCATTCACCGACACCGACTTTATGTTTGGGTCTGAAAACTTTAAATCGTATGAACGGCCTCCATAGCAGTAGATCTAAATAAAAACAATACTCAATGAATATTGTACATTGTAAAATTTAGATGATTAATAACTTAGGGATTGCTGTCAAACCAGTCATTCAACTTTTTCTCAGGCCACTGTTCAAACAAAAGACACTTATAAGTCTTGTTTATTGCATCAAATTCTCGAATACACAAGATTATTGACAGAGAGCAAAAACAGTTTTTTTTGTAGATGTTGAAGTGGTATTCCCATAATTGCAGCTATATTTCATCAGCAAATCATGGTAAATATCTACTATTAGTTTTGATGTATTTTATTATTGTCTTGTTGACAATTTTGTCAAATTTGCACAGTGCTTAAGTAAACTTACAATATGTTAGAATAAAATCCTTTAATTTGCTGTAAAATCAATATTTTTAATATATTTGTAAAAAGRTGATTGAATCTTACCCGATACATCTTCAACACACCATTTTCTTCATCAGGTGGATCCCAACGGACCACAAGAGAATTACCAATCAGCTTCACTCTGATGTTTTTGGGTTTGGAAGGCACTGAAACAACRATACCAAAGWTCATTTATTTAAAAAWTTGTCCCTAATTTCTACTTTAAATCTGGACAAACAGTTAAAGGGACATGGTCCAMCAGCATCCCTTTTGAGGTTTTGCTCATGTTCGAAAATAAAAATACTTTGTAATATAAGCAAAAACGTACTCTTTATTATCCCTTTATACTATAKGAATGGAGATACTGAAAGATTCRACCTTTAAAGMTATGGATGGAAACAGATTGCGATTGAAATTCAAAGTCACCTCATTTTCCATATATGAAAAATCTAAAACATGACCGCATTGAAWGCTGGTGGACCATATCCCTYTAAGAGCTGAAATGYTCTTTSGTAAATCATTCCATAGCAAAAGACCTTTGTGCAGTAGCTGTCCTAAACAGTGCMRTATATATACTGATTCACATGGTTGCTTGCTTGGCTGCATCATTKAGCAAGTGACATGACATARCATAACCATGACTAACCTCCTTCYTGTGTCTTTGCAGTACAGTTTGCAAGYTCACCAGGTTTTATTGTGACGCCCTGGATGGTCATGAAATACTCTCTGAAAGGCTTTAACCCAGACACCACATAAATATGTTCTCTTAAAAGATCAATGCCCTTATGACTAGGCAAGACAATAGTRTTACCAACTTTCTCACGTGTCTTTTCCTCATATACTTTRATGGTGTATTGGCGAATAATACCATTGGTTTYTTTTGGTTTGGACCAAAACAGTGCAATGCTCTTATCTGACATATCTCTACCTTTAAACTTTACTGGAGCACTTGGTGCTAAAAACAATTATAATTTGATTACATTTTTTTTTCAATATGAATTATCCACGGCCACTACTACTATAGATTTATTTAATTACATTGGCCACTTCAACCATGCTAGATTTCGAAGAGGGGCATAAAGTAATAACATAGATATAACATGTAAAACATGTTACTRCAAGTATAGTAATAGACCCCTGAAACGTTTGTGTCATATATAGCAATGTATTGTGGGATATGTTTGGSACAAAACATGGAGGATTCTTTAGTTTTCTCTAGAAACTGATCCCACAATGCATTGGAAATCAAGTAGGTGCCATAAAAACTTCAGAAACTTATTTACCATCTTCAAGGGTCTTGGCAGACTTTACATCTGAGGCATTTCCAGTTTTCGTTGTTTCTCCACGTACTTGAATGTAGTATGTAGTAAACTTTTTAAGACCTTTAAGCTCATAATCATAGTTTTGCCCTCCTACATCAAAAYGGGCAAAGTTGTCCTTGTGCTCTCCATAGAAGATCATGTACTTTTTGATGACTCCATTCGATGTTTTAGGTTTCTTCCAAGATACCTCTATTGAAGTGGAAGTCTTCGGTTTTAATACCACATCTAAAGGAGCACTTGGACCTGCATATACGATATATAACAGCGACATTATGATTAATGATTAGAATGGCACCAGTTATAAGAAATCATCCACACTGCTTATGGCTGTAAACAGTTTCATTACAAATAAATGATACATGACATACAGAATATTTGATGAAAATTTTGTGGATGGTTATAATTATTTGTCTATTATAAGTTTGTTGCTAATCAAAGTGATCAGTATCAAAGCTATTACCTGTTTGCTGGGTACGTACATATGTACATGATTCCTTATCCCAGTTCTTAGATAAACCAATCTTAGTAAATGCAGCTAGCTTGACACACACTTGAGTATAAGGAGTTAGTCCTGTAATTTCTGTACTTAGCTTCTCTCCATCACTAATAGTTTTATTGCGATACCCTGATTGTCCAGTTGTGTTGTAAAACACTATGTATCCTTTAATTATGCCATTGGATTCTGCAGTTGATATCTTGTCCCACGAAATAAAMACAGTATAAGCATCTCGTGCTTTGGATGAAATAATTACTGGAGTCTCGCCAGGTACTGAAACCAAATATTTTGAGTGTCATTCAGCAGATATTAGGTATAAAACTTATTTCATAGTCAGCTAAATCATTTCAGTTATAAACTTCAAATATCTAAAGACTTTCAGGTTGTTCAAGATTCACAGTCAATTTAAATTGCTGGTGTTGTTCTTGTTGTTGTTTACAAGGGGTAGGGGTAGGCACATGGCAGTTGATGGTTGTGTGCTACTTAAATTAGTGCCTATGATACCTGACAAAAAAATTTCTAATTCTCTGTAAAATAATTGAATGGCAAAATATTCCTGCATTTTAGTGTTGCGTCTTTGAGTTATGAAGGTTCAATCTTACAATATGTTAATATGAAAATGACATCAAAGAAGGCTTCATTAGATATACGAACTTTGAAGGAGTCGCTTAAAAGTGGTTTCATGGCATTAAATTTATCGTATATGCAATGTTGGGAATTACCATATTCCCAGATGGCGTGCATGAAATTATTTTTGAGTGACTGTTTCAAAATTCGTGTATCTAATAAAGCCTCCCTTGACATCATTATCATTAGCATATTGGAAGACTAAACCTTCAACACTCAAAGACACAACACTGAAATGCAGAAATATTTCACTATTCAATTATTTACTTTATATAGAATCAGCTCACAGAAAATCAGAAATTATTCTGTCAGGCATCATAGGCACATAGACAGTATAGTTTAGACAAGTGTTAGTGCTATGAAGGATATTCCTCAAGACTATGCAATGACACAAATCACTGTATGGACAACAGACCAAAATGTCAATGGATCCTGGTTTGGTATTGATGTTATATTAAGTATTAATTATCAAATTCATTAATAATTCATAAAGTTAACACATTGGAAAATCATTGCCGTGACCACATCTTTATATGAGCAAGAGATTTTTCCTGATTTGCATACAACCTTGACTTCGATTTTCTCTTAAAAATGATATGTTAAATCTTGAAGCTCTTTGCAAAATATGCTTTAGCTTATGAATATGATAAGCAATATAAAATATTTGCATCCAATCTTTATGTTTTAAATACCCATAAGGRTCTCCCATATATATTACGTAAAGAATAAAGGCYACRGAGCAGGAAGTCACAGTACTACATATTGCAGTATTGTCATTACCATCTTCAAAAGTCTTTGCAGAAACTATCTGGGATGAMTGTCCAGTCATATGGTTTGTGTGACCATAAACAAGGAAATAGTATTTTGTGTACTCTTCAAGGTTTTTGAYGAAGACCTGTTGTACTGTGCCTTTTGTTTGTACTACTTTTGAAAGTCGTTGCTGATCAACACCATATTTGACTGTGTATTTGATAATCTTTCCGTTAGGATTCTTGGGAGGATCCCATTTTAGGAGAACGGATGTGGAACTCATTACTGTGGCTTTAAATTCCTCTGGCTTTGATGGAGCTGATTGATAAAAAAAACAAGTTAACACAGTTGTTACTTCAGAACCTCAGTCACCTAAATCAGCATTACCTCCTCCAAGTGGTTCTGCTTTAATGGACGATGTTCTAGGACCAAAATTAATTCTTGTATATCCAGCCACAGACAAAAAATATGCATCATACTTCAGGTTCTTTAAAGTGTGTTTGAAAGTTGAGTTTCCTGGCACTACCACCTGGGTTTCTGGTGCATTCTGTGATGTACTGTTCTTGAAAAAAATGTAGTATCCTAGAATGATTCCATTCCGACCTTCTGGTGGGATCTCACCCCATGTGACCGTTAAAGATAGYGARGTTAGGGACKTAACAGCAAAGTTTGAAGGTGTCATCGATGGTGCTGAATCAACATAATAAAATATGGTTTCAATGTTATTWACAAAATAAAAAAGAAAGTAATATATAACTTTCCTTCAATATTCCAGCTACAGTAGAAGGTCAAACCATGATGTATAACAAGGAAAGATTCTACAACTTTTCCCTTTAATGTTATTGTCTTGGGAAAATCTGATGTAAAATCTTGGCATTGTTCATAACATAGAACATTGTTATTATCAAGCAACACTAACCTGCTTCATCTGATCTTTGYCTTATTGAAGTTGACCAACCACTAGTGCCATATAAATTACGAGCTTGTACTTTAATTGTATAATAAGTATAAGGTAGCACATCTAAAGTCGCTGTTGTTGTAGTAACTACTTTTTGTTTGGCAGCATTTTGTTTGTCTGCAATCCAGTGAATGATGTAGTBACTTACTGAACCACTATCACTCGTTGGTTTACTCCATAAAACTTTCATTGAATGAGACAATGATGAAACCACTTGTACTGAAGATGGCTTGYCCGGCAGTCCTGTAAAAGAATTAAAAAAACATTCTGAGAGCTGAAGTCAGTTTTAAACTTACCTTGTAACACTTGAACAAAATAGAGAAACAACAATAATAATAACAATAATTCATAAGGTAAACACAATGTCATGACTCTACCTTAATATGAGAAAGTGATTTGTCCTGATTTGCGTATTACGATTTAACTTCGATATTCTCTTAAAAATGATATTTTATCTTGAAGTTTATATTTATATTCTTTAGCTCATGTTGGAATTTGATAAGCAGTTAAAAATATTTGTGTCTGACCTTTATGGGTTCTAAAACTGCTCACTTGCAGCTGGCTGTTTTAATGCCCTTAAAGATCTCCTGCTCATATTTTATATATTACATGTATTAAAAACAAGCTGGGAACACAGAATAGCCCTGCAGGATATAGGGAGCACAGAAAAATACAGCTGAAGAAAATAAATAAAAACAATCATGAGAGGAGGTCTTTCAGTGGTACAGAAATAAAGTACTTACTATAACAAACTGGTGCTGTATCATTCCAAAGTCCATTATCTTGACAAAGTAGGAATGGCCTTCCAACCATGACATAAGATAACAAACAACTAAATGTGCACACGCTGCCAAAATATTCAGACTTTGTACATGATGATTTAGTCCCCAACGGCGTGCTTAACCTTGAACATGCTATAAATCAATCACAAAACATTTTATTGTTTATTACTGTATGTTGATGAATGGAAGTGTGAAATAATTGAATGAATAAATGAAAGAATAGATTGAGGATGAATTGGAGGGATGGATGGATGSAAGAGAGGATGACCCATTCACTGAGGGCTGTTTCAGACATTGATCTTTTATTAAATCTAATTGATGGAGTTGAGCTTATGAGCATTTTGTGCTCTGAATTTATTGACATTACGAGATTTTGTGAAGTTGGACAAACTTACTATCATCTATAATCAATCGATGTACATGTAGACTGCAAACTTCTTGAGAACTGCATGTAAGCAATTAGATTAGATGCGGCAAAAGATCAACGTCTGAAATGGGCCCAAATGAATTTCTCCATGACTGAATGAATGATACAATGAGTGGACGAATGGACTTGAAAAGTGACTCAACAAATATATAAATACAAAATCCATCCATAATAACTTCAATACAAAATACAATGAATGAATAAACGGTATTAAAGTAATAACTGTATAAATAACAAGTAAATTATGAGAAAAGGAGGAAGGAAGCACAACAGTCAATAAGCAAAGGAACAACATACCCTGAGGTACAACTGATGGTGTGGTACTATTACATCCATAAAGCTCCATTCTCAAAGCACAGTAATTGTCACATTGTTTTACATACAGTTTAACAAATCTTCCTGTAAATGTTGGATCAATGGTGTTTTGAACAACTTTACTCACATCAGAATTACCCTGGAAAACCTGTTAAACACATCACATTCTATTAAGCATTCTTTATCCATGTAGTACCTCACAGATACTATCAATCTATAAACTATTGTATCCTTGATGCATTTAAACATATAGTTAATGGACAAAAGGTTGTTGTCGAACGGGTTTCACAAACTGTGACTAGCCCGAACTGGATTGTGGGTAAAAATCAATGACCTGGCAAATTAGAGATTTGAGCTTTGTGATTGGAAGAACTTAGACAAAAATTTCCAAATCACTGGAATTTAATTATGCATGCATGTGGTGTTGATTTTTGCATTTCACGTTGTTTTTCATCATGACGGGGAATACAACATTCAATGTTTTCTTAAAAAAAAAGAATAAAAGCCAAAACAAATTGACACTAAACTAGAAGGTGTTGTCATGCCTAATTTGACAGTTCATTAATTTTTACCCAGAAGCCTGTTTGGTTTGGTTGTGTGCTACGAAGTGCAGTCGACGACAACCTTTTGTCAATCGACTATATGTAATGTACACACGCAAGCAAGAAAGCAAGCAACTGGATTGTGGTTGGTTAGAATTCTTTAATTTCAAAAAATAAATACAATCAAAAACACACCTTTGTGACTCCACCAACAGTATAAGGTTTCCAATGTACACCATCATCACTGGCACTTATTGTGTATTGTTTGATAAAGCCTAAAAAGCCCTGAGTTGCTATAGCAGATACGGTATACCTTCTAGGGAATTTTACTTGTATCCAAGCATTTGTATCACTTGTTGCAGCAATCCATGCACCATTATTTTGCAGCCGTGCTTGATAACCACTGTATTGGGGATTTTTTTGATGTATACTTGATTCCTGTATGGCTTGGTTAGGTATGGCACCACTCTCTAGCCCTAATGGTCTTGATGATGAACATGCTTAAACAAACAATAATCAAGGTTTTAACAAGGAAGTAAGTTGCCTTGATCATTATCTTGAGTTGACTCATTGACTCCTTGCTTGTTTGCCTTTGTGGCCTTGGTCATCTTACAAACTTTCATGTAGCCCTTGTGTAGTACAACACACTCAATCTCCACAAATTTTACTGCCTTTTCAGATATTATATATTTTGCATAGAAAAATTCTCTAACAAGAATGATGATTAACCAATGAGCAAATATACACTCGATTTCATGAAATGATAGAAGTACTTACCTGTTGAGTTATTTACAGCATCGACAATAACACCTAAAAAACAGAACAGTCTATTATCAACAATACAGAGATAGTAACAGTTCATCATAATTTAAGCTAAGGAGAATATTTTGCTAGTTTTCAAATATTCCCTCAAGTTTTGAAAGACAAAAGATTGCCAGACACGGAATGTCCAATAACAATACCAGCAATTTTAACAAAGAATATAGGCAACCTAGTTACATTGTCTACACAAAAATATTTTTCATTAAAAAGTTCATAAACATATTTGATGTTTCAAGGTTTAAAGAGAAATAAGGATAGAAATCAAAACATAGCTGAGATTTTGAAATTGACAATGTGGGAAAAATTAAAATAAGAATTATTCCTCCCAATTAATTCTTTGTATTTATTGATCACTTGGAATTTTATATTTTATGCTAATAAAAAGATGGGAAATGCATATGATGGCAAGGTTTTTGTAACTAGAGCTTACTGTATACAAAATGTATTTGTACTTTTTACTCCATATTGATGCAGCTTGTTCAAAACATAAACAGTACCAATACTTTTTGTTCAAGAATTTAGATTAGATTGGTTTGGGTTTAATTTCCAAATACATTAGTCAAATAACTTTAACTTCATTTACATGTATTTTCACATAAACAGATCATCAGAAGCAATCTATATTAATAGCTCATTTACATCAAAGTTACAAAAATATAATAAAATTAGTGAAATTATGACTAAATTGTGGTAACTCTTAGCTCATTATCAAAAGTGATAAAAATTTTAAATCAATTTATTAATGTCCACCTACATGATTGAGGTCGAGTATATTAAAATAATATGTCCAAAAGATAACATCTTTTGAATAATAACAATTCTGGAAATTGTTTCTTTACTTTATGATTCTGTGGATTGTGGACTTGTGGTACGACATTGGGCAAAGGTAATTATTTCAAATGGTTTATTCAAGAAATATCTTTTAGTCTAAAACTTCAACATGGCAACAAACGAAAACATGACCTCAAAAGGATGTAATGGTGACTGCAGTTGTTCAGACTCTTGTCTGAGTCACTTTTCTACGAATGACTTATAGAATAAGTTGAAAGTCCTAGAGATAAAATGATATTTTACTAGACATTTTAGTCAGCAGGAACAGCAGGAAGCCTTAGTCTGTGGAATTTTTTTCGTGTTTATCTTCAAATGAATTCTAATKCAATCCCATGCGATCGCATTATCTGTGCYTGACGCATTCAACCATTYGACGATTTCTCCAATAACCTGATGTGATTAAATATGGCTAATATATAGTAATCAATGCTCGTCAAATAGGGATTTCCCATATCACATTTTACAACCTGACCAGATAAATCGATCTATTTTGAATTCTATATGTGCAATTTATACATATTTGATTTTTGATCTAAATGTTTACAATCCAAGCTTGTATATTTTGAAAGCATGCATATCATTTGTACATTACAAAATAATCATTTAGACTTGAATGTGCAAAACGTTTATAAGGGAAAAGACGGTAATGCAATTATTCTACGAGTAAATCTTTGGGAGTATCTACTTAAATAATTTAACGTAGTGGTTGGTTTTCCAATATACAAAGCTTGGCTAGTGCAATTACTTACATAGCGACTCGCTTTGAAAATACGGGCTGCTTTCCCATCAAATGTATCGTTTTTTAATTCGTCGACGAATAGAACTATGCTTGTGAACAAAGGAAATAGCTCAGAAACAAAGAATGGAATTTAGAAGACGCCGAAATTTGCCGGAACTTGGCGTGAGCTGGGTACCACAAAACAATACATGCGAGCACAGTCATGTCAAATTCGGTTCTTCCTTCGTAACGTTTACTTTTAAAGCATATATTCCTACTGTACGAAACTTATTAAAACCTCAAATGTGGAGCCGGTTGTAGCCAAAATATTTTTGTGGAACACAGCCTGAGGTATCAAATAAGGGTTGCGTGTTTTGGCAAAGACGTGAAATCGTCGACCAAAATCCCTCGTGTTGATTAACATTATTGATGGTTCAATCGCTAAAATAAACCTCTGATTGACTTCTTGTCCTACTCTCAATCATGAAGAACTATTTCTTTACCACTACTAAGCGTTTTTGAAGTCAAATCTGCATGGACCTAGCTCACATCTTTCATAAAAACGGACGGCTTATAGAATGACCGATTTTGATTATGTTAAACGACGCATACTTACCAGCTGAACTCAAGCATAAAAGTGTAAACAGAAATAGGAAAATGCGTCGAGGTGSTCGCTTGCACGATTCCATTTCACATGAATATGAATTSTTTTTAAGTATTGATGAAAAATCCTTCCCTCGCCATGAATGTCTATGACTGCTGCATGATCACTTCCAACATATATTTGGACACGTGACTTGAAATGAGCATTTCCCAGTGGACCAATCAGGAGAAACAATGAAGTCATCGGGTGCGGCGTGGACCGGAAATGGCTTATACAACTTCACTTCCGGTATCTGAGCAAACATGTCAAAATATCCTAAATAAAAAAGCAATGAAATAAACAATGATGCACAAAGTTTCTATATCTGTACATTTCAACGACGAAGTGAGCTATTCAATAAATTTATTCAGGATCAAATGCAATGTGTAAATGGACAGTCCTATGGAGACAGGGGATCAGGTTTTGGAGGTGTCTATACGAATACCGGGGAAGACTTTGGAYGAATATCAAAGAAAATATAGATCATCCGAATAAGCGAAGTAACTGAGAACAACAATGGATCAGACATCATAATAACTATCATATGTCCAGAGTCAATTGTTAATAGTCAAAAGGAAACAAAATCTGATACTSTGTCACATACAGACTGGTTCGTGAATAAACTTTTACAGAAATACGTGGTGCTAAGAATCGTGGTTATGACGAAAAAATTGACTATAAAAAGTGACACCRCCCTTCAAAACCACAGACGGCCAGAAACCCAGGCTATTTAGTGTGATKACGAACAGAACAGATGATTGATGTCCGAATATGATGGCGATGACTTGAGCCGTTTTTACACCGCGAAAGTATGCCTTTATGTAATAGGAATAGGATTTGTTTTGATCGCTAATAAAGGCGGTGGACAGYTACAAACAGATGCTATCATCTCGCATTTCAAACATCAGCAATAATCACAAGATCTCTGACTTTTGGCTTCAATTACGATTTTAACCCCATTTACCAATAGCAGCAAGATCACCTTATGTATATCGTCTATAATGAAGTAAGYATCAATGGGGACACTGAGAAGCTCCGCTTTTCATGTGCACCGCAATTTCACATGTACCAGGAAAACTGTCCGGTAAACGGGTAGTCATCAAACTGTCGACTGRTTATTTTATTTTCAAAGCCGACTATGAAAGTTATTCAGAATTTTCAATCTGCATGAAATGCGGCACAAATTACGAAAGACGTATTTCAAGTCGGGCTCGTTATCTTAGCAGATCAGTGATTTTTTTCGTGAAAACGAACATCTGTTTACCTCGCGATCACTGTAAGTGCTGATTCCAATCCATCGATTGGATTTCATTTCAGATTACTGAATGCTTGAGCTCAACAGCTGGAACAGGTCTGTTTGTTATCAGATCATCGTAATTATGACAKATCATAGTGGTTTTTCAACTGTTATTATCATATCATTATCATCATTGCAAATTGCCCTCTTTCACTATGACGTCACAGCACGTTTTTTTGCGGTGGCAGCAGAATTGGTCAATTGGTGCAATATGTACAAAATCTTACTCATTTTCTTCGTAAGTTGGAGTCAATTATCATCTAATAATTTCTATTATCATGTAATCATCTATGTAATCTCAGTCTAAATTTCTTACTTTCAACTGAGTATGGATTTTATCTTCTTGTGTTGAAAATCTCTCTCAAACCCACTCGTGAGAGATCTCACGACCATMATTTCCTGTACTTTTTTTCCTCCTTTTTTATTATATATTTATTATATATCTTTTATTTATTTATTTTATTTTTTTTCACAATAAAGGCTTCTCTCGAACCTGCTGGGCATGGAAGCGCGAGATCCAAAGTCCAAGTTTTCCACGCAATGATTACCAGCCCAACCAAACTTGTACATGGAGAGTATTTTTCCCTGACTCTATGGGGAATCTGCGCACCAGTTATGGGATCATGTCATGATGTTCGACGCATTGGAAATAGAGCCTTGTATGCGCTGTGCTTGTGGTTRGTTGGCGCGTACTTCCACTGAAAGTAATTTAATAGCAAAGTGCTTAAGGGAAATGCCACGCGAGTGTCTTAAAAAATCAGCGTGTGCGCGCCAATTCTTACTGTTCGCGGTGAGCATAAACGCTGACCAAAAATCGCCTCGCGTAGAATTTCCCTTGCGCAATTTCCTATCGTGTGCAGTGAGATAAATGTTACGTTTCAATTAAGATTTCCTAACACTATTTCTGTGTTATCATCCCTTTTTTTCTTTGTTTTCCCAACATTCTGAAGTGTGATGACCATAACTCCTTTGATGGGACGGCGACAAAATGACTACCCCTGGTTTAATGAGCCATAATGTTTTTTTTTTCTACTTAAAAGTATGTCAATTTGCAACCTCGTCATTTGTTCTTCTAGTTATTTCCCTTATGCGAAATATTCTATTATTACCATTCCCCTGCAAAAACAGTGCAGGCAGACAACATTTTACATGGTATCCAAATGTTCTTTAAGATTGCTGCTATCCCGCTCGATAGTTAGTATCATAAACAAGCAAAAAGAATAGCCTATCRACTATTGATCATGTGACTAATGATTCAATTATAAATAATGAATATTTAATTTTCAAAAACACATTATTCATTACACTGTTCAACACAACTTAATCACTTGATATTTTCTATTCACATTGGTGAGACGTTGTCATAACTGTAACATGCATACAAAAAGAGTCAGAAGGAAGAGCATCTAACGTTTTATGAATTGTCAATGTCTTTATAAAGTAAGAGAGGAGTAACGCCCATGGCTTCACTCTAGCATAACCGCATTTAAGAACTTTAATTGTTGTGGTCGTCGGGGAGGTCGCTGACATTGATTAAAAGAATTAATACACACGTGAAAAGTAACTGACCTATTAATGACCAGACATCTCCTCAGCAAACAACAATTGTTGCCAAAAATATGGCTCATGTTTATTYATAACTCTCAAATACGKGACAGCGCGACTTACGCGTTCACAAAATAAAATTCAAATAGAAATATGCACAGCAATAGTCAAAGTTTTATTGAACTAAAATGATTTCCAAAAGAACGTTAAATTAAGTCTGTGAGGATCAGTTGTTTAAGATCATGTGTCAGAGCCGAGTACGATCGACCGAGTGTTTGAAATGCGTAATATCCATCGTTAAACAATTTCATTTTTCCATTTTTCTGTTTATTTTATTGTTTTAGCAGGCGCGTAGCGTCCTTTACGCATATACGTACTAGTAGCAAGGAAATATTAAAATTTTCTGAAAAGAATTACTGAAAAATTCACATAAAATCGGTCCCTTTATATGTCCCCGATGTCTCTCAAAACGCTGGAAATCGCATTTCCAAGAGTTGATATTTCAAAATTTCCTGGGGRARGTCCAGACTCYCTTAATACTTTKGACTTTKGYGGTCGTCAGGCCCCCAGATCCAAAATATGTGTCGCGGTCCCTCCCATGTGGGTACTAGCCAAAAAGTGCACGCTAAGCAGCGCCTGTTTAGTTATTGTTTTTGTCATCTGTTTTTGATTTTTTTTCCAGCATGAGCCTATGGTTCTAGACAACAATACAATAACTAGACTAGCAGATGACGCCAAGAAATCAGTTCAAGACTGCGTTCAACTTAGAAAACAGTGACGGATCCAAGATTTCAAGAGGGAGTGCATTTAAGGTATAAAGGATCACAAATACGTGAAGGATCACAATGACATTTTTTAAGCTACCGCATTTTGATTTGTCTGTATGTTTTTATTAGGGTTGCATCGATTGAGCCTTAGTGTCTATATGTATGTATTGGATGACTACGGGAGTGGGGATCCTATAAATCCATCGCTGGATCCGTCTGCACTGGAAAGTGTTCATCACATTTCTTGTTAAGTTACGTCCACTATCCATAAATGAATAAATGGCTATTTAGCATCAACTCACATCATGCATTACGATACATTTATCAGATCATTACTGAAGTCTATTTACATCTAGCAGGATGAACAACCGGCTGARGAAGAGATCTAAACATTAACAATGGCGTAGTCCGTTTCCTCGTACGTCGGCGGTTTGAGGACTTCAGGTGATGAATCATTCTCTTTGAAATCACCCAATACAGCATATGTAAGGTCTTCTTCCCTTTTCTTTGGTGGCTTTGGTGACTGTAAAGACAATCAATGATTAGAGAGAGATTTTAAGCATCGCATTCAGCATACCAAAGGCAGAAAATATAACGAGAGTAATTCATTGGCATCTCCCTCGCCGTCGTTCAGCGCGAGAGGGTAAGCGTGAGTTTTTGTTCTGCAACACCATCCCTAGAATCGGTATGAAAAAACATGGTTATGAAAAGCTGTCCAGCGAAACTAGAGCTATCCGTATACACATCATGAATATAACTATTTCTGCAAAAATAGGTTGTCGGATAAAATGCAAACGGCGATTGCACGACCGAAAGGAGCCATGGGTTTTGCTAATGGAGATTAGATTTTCTATATGGTCATCATTGGCTCCATTTAGTCTTCATTTTCACGCAAGTAAACCCAACAATTGAATTTTTTGTATATGTCAAACAATGTAACCATAGTCCCTTTCGGTCGTGCATTCTCCCGTCGACAATCGCCGTTCGCCGTTCTCCCCGACAACGTTTTTTGAAATACTGAGTGTATGTCTATACACTGCATCGTTGCTTGTTCTTGGAATTTGTGAAGAAAAAAAKATCTTACTCTTTTTGCTTATTCTTCACGGAGCAGTCGTAAAAGACGAAACTGCAGAGTTCACTACGATATCATTAAAGAGTTTCAGCAAAGCTGATCAGGTGTTCGTGAGTTTTTTTACACACCGAAAATCGATCAACGAAAGAAAAGTCTTTGCATAAGAAGCAATTCTGGTTTGCACGTAATGGTGCAATCGATAGCAATAATCGAAGAGGAGAAAATCATTCAAATCTATAACACATATGTTGAARGTTGTAGTAGCCCACGCATGATCCGCCARAAGCCTATATAATTRACTTCACTGTCAATTTCAGTGGAAATAATTTGCACGGAGGGGATGCAATTTTTACATGAYAAGAAAGCAATTTTTTTCAAATTGAACGAGAAAACGTATATCATGTATATGATTACCTTTTAATGACGAGATCCTGAAAGGGGCTATCCAATCCCAATTCGCATTTTTTTTAAATCCTAGTATTTCTCACAGGAAGCTCAAACTATCGTATCATTCTAACTGATCCAGTTTTTTTTTTTCAGAGTTTACAGAAAAATTCAATTGCTCGTGATAGTAGCCGAAGGAAAATGTAAAAAGATTTTTCGGCACTGCTTGATCATTAACCGATATCTAGGCTTGGTTTAACCATGTCATATATAGAAACTACACGATGTTGCAAAGTAAAGATCTGATTATATCATTTAAACAAAGTTCACTGTCCATTTCCTTGCCTTTTTTACTGCTGTATCTGGTCGAGTCTCAACCGATTTTGTCTTTTTGGTCTTGTCAATTGCTGCGAAAATTGGATCTTGATGCTCCTCGACATCAAGTCCTCTACGAGGCTGTAACTTGACAAGTGTCTTTCGTTCTTTCATAGCTATTCTAAAAAAGGATAATCATTTACATTTATATWTAATGTTTAAATGAACATAGAATTCAAATGAAGATGGAATTAGAACAGGTGCGCAAGTGAATCATAAATTATCGMATGTTTTTTAGAAACTTACTCCTCGGTATTTATTTCTTGATGTTGTTCTTGATCTAGATTTCAAATCAGTCAATAATAAATAATTAAAATAAATGTAGGAAGACTCCGTAAATTATGGTAATGATCACATGAAAGTATTTAAAGTTAATATGACATAAACACCTCATTAAACATTGCGTTTAGTATTCGCCTTACAAAGGAGGAAGAAAAATTGACAAGAAAAGCGTTTGCAAAAAGAGATGTAGTCAGTAATTGTAGATACCTTCTTCATCTTTTTCGTTTCGGTTGCAGCCGCAGATGACAACGACCACAATTCCAATAAAAGCCAGAATGGCGACTGAAATAATGATCATAATGACCACCATTGAGGACTCTTTTTTCTTGTTGCTTGACTCTGTTTTCTTCTCATCTACATAGATAAAAAGGTTGTATCGTGCTGTGATATTAAACCCTTCCCATGATGACATATTACACCTGCTATACCACAATCCTTTGCGCTAGCCATCGTTTTTCCATCTATATATCAATTACTTGATTACTAGCACGGATGGACATCGAGAAATCCTATTTCAARCAAACTGTTTCATAACAAACTAATTTAAAAAGTAATTGACATTAGTAATAGGTGATGACACAAGGGCGGATCAAGAGGGAGGGGGTGTATCAAGGTGTCTAGTTACCCTTATTTTCGAGGACTCAAAAAAGTAGAAATGTATGAATGAAGAAAATGGAAATTCTATTAAAATCCGAAAAATAACAAAAGCAGTAAATCAAAGTTCGCGTACCGCTTTTAGGGAAGGGGGTGGGGATGTTACGAATGGGTTAACAAATCCTCCTCCCCACTCCTGAAAATACATAATGAAAGCCGTCTCTTCAAAGACGTTTCGAGCTTTACTTACTGCCTTTTACTCTAGAGCTCCTGGTGGTCTTTGCTTGTGTGGCTGTGTAAAGAGGGCTAATGTCTTGAATGGCTTTTACTCTAGAGCTCCTGGTGGTCTTTGCTTGYGTGGYTGTGTAAAGAGGGCTAATGTCTTGAATGGCTTTTACTCTAGAGCTCCTGGTGGTCTTTGCTTGCGTGGTTGTGTAAAGAGGGCTAATGYCTTGAATGKCTTTTACTCTAGAGCTCCTGGTGGTCTTTGCTTGTGTGGTTGTGTGAATCGTGGTGTCACCATGGGACGTGTTACTACTGTTACGCAGAGTCGGACCTCTAGTAGAACTGATGTTGTCACACCAATTTACTTCTGTAGCCTTGCAATCTGTATTCATGATGCAAATTAGACGACGCGCTCGATAAGACATATACCTACTTCAATAATGATTGTCGGATAACGGCGAATGTCAATATATTATCGAACGGCGATTGCAAAACCGAAAGTAGCCATGGTTTTCCTAATTGATGAAAAATAACAACTGATTTATATTGTAAGATATAGTTTGTGGTGAGCATTGGCTCTATTAAGTCTCAATTTCTCTGCAAGGTGAATCCAATTAGTGAAAATCTGTTTGTTAAAACAGTACTTAACCATCATCCATTCGACCGTGCAATCTCCCTTCGGCAATCGGCGTTTGACGTTTTTCCCGACAACTTTTTTGAAATAGATGTATATGGAAGCATGCCCTTGTGTGACAACAATATTTTCATAATATATTGCGGGACAATTGTTGTGCGAAAGCATACAAAAACAAAYCCAAAACCCTTTGAATGACTGGCTACATTCAAGGGTTGATCCAGGTTGGGTTGATCGCAGGAAGAAGGGCGGTCCAAATGCATGGACTGCACTGCCATACCTTCCACTTGCGTGACATCGTTTTAAAGTGTGCATTCAATTGACATATATGGATACACTTGCTACAAGTCGGCCTCTTTTTCGACTCACAAAAACGAAACATGCGATATATGTAATACAAACACACCTGTTGCCTTTCTTTCACAAATTCTTCCCATTTCCTCGTTCATGTTTTCACTCCATATTGACATTTCATGATCTTCTATATCAATAACGCCGTGACTGTGMTCTAACGAAATATACTGACATTGCCTTAGGTCGCAAGTAACATTTGTCAGCCATTTCCATCGTGCTATGGGAGGTATGGGAAGTATGGGAAGTCTAGGCTCACTTCTGGTCAGACCAATCCACCATTCTGCATTGTTATAACGCTGTGTTATTATATAGTTCTTGATAAATTCCCATTCTGCATCGTTCTCTATCGAGACAAGATCACCCCCRTTCGTTTGGCACTGTTCCCTGCTAGTATCCCAACCTGCACTACTCACGTTGAACATGTAACATGAGCACTTTTTTAAATAATAACCTACAACGAGAAAAAACAGAAAAAAAGCCTGTGTTTTATATAGAATCTAATGGCATTTAACTAAATAAGGCTCTCTAGGCTCTTGAATGTTTTTAAGAAGTTACTTCTATTGATGGGTGGGGTCCGTAAAGTGATTAAATTCATTGAACACATTTCTTTTATATTAATTGTAAACATACAAAAAATGTGTTAGATATTAATTATTATTGTATTTATATTACTTTGCGAAAAAATATCATTTAGATGTCAGGAACCCACTTTTTTTTGGAATTCAGTCTGAAATGTTTCTTAGAAGAGTGTTTAAAATATAACAGAATGAAAATGTTCTTGTGAGAAAGGTTTATACGCTAAGCATTGAGTCCTTCTATAGCATGTTATGATTCGGTAATTCAAGGTATGCTTACCAGATACTGCTGAAGACACAAACATCAAATAGTAAGTTATAGCTATACAAGATCGATCCGATTTGATTGAAGACTTCATCACAGCTTAGTCTGTTCTTTCTGGTGAAACTGCTTGCAGCGCTCAGCTTGTTCAAGTAAATGAGTTCAGAGCGACGTGTAAGTCAACGAACACTTATTGATTGCCAGTTTATTGATGAACACCGCATGACGCGCCCGGCAGATGTCTCAATGAATACACTCTTCATATAAAAGAATGAAATATTCAAATAAGATCACTATATATACTTTTGAAGTTAAGGCTTGTAGCAAGATGCCGGAAATTTGTATATCCGTAAACGTTTATGCATCTGGAAACAAATTTTCTCAAAAGTTTCAAGAGGAAAGTGATCAAAAACGCCTCGAATATGAATTTGTGAACATTTTTGCATTCGCAAAAAAATAAAAATAAAAGATCAATCCAATCAATAAAAAAGACTGAAACTGTAACGCCCATGAAGATCGATAACAAGAATAACCATAAATAGAGTCAAGGCTAAAAATATAAGGCCAAGGCTTGTAAAACATACAATAACATTAAATACAGGAAATACATATACATGTACTACCTATTGGTGCCTTGGGCACATTATTCATCATAAATTAGAATATTACTGACAGCTAGAATAAATAATGTCTTTAGCCAATGTTTACGAGCTGCTTACGTCAATGATCGAAATCAAATTATTTACTTTTCAAAGGCTGAAACCATACATATGACAATATACACCTATTTCGTCTCGATAATGGAGACGTTCTTCGTCTCATAGCTGATCTTTTAGACCGGCTATTTTACTGTTCAACAAGTAAAAACTGGATTTAGCCATTACTGCTTTTCTCTGTTCAGGGAATATGCGATGAGATACTGGTCGTACATGCAGTAGGCAATCGAAGCAATACGACTTTTTTCTTTTAATAATTTATTTATCATATACACCTAACTGAAAAAGCCTTGTCGCAATAAGGTGATGTTACCTGTGTAATCACGTGTCTGGTTAGTGACTACATTAATTAGTTTATCTTTTAAAAAATATGTTCAACTTGAAAAGAGAAAATCTTGAGAGACGAATTAACAAAATAACCACAATAATGAAAAAAAAAAGAAATTAAAAAGAAAAAGAAAAAAAAAAGCATAAGCAATATATAATGTTTTCAACGAGGCTCGAACTCAGGCACCTCACCTGAGTGGAGGATGCACCCCCCGGACACATATTAGAAATGATGAAAATCAAAAATGAAAAAGATGGGACGATTCCCCCGAGACATTCTGTGAAGCTGAGGCGTCGAATCGGCTTACGKTHCGGYTAGAGATTTCKRCTCTYMCACGCTATCCCGAGTGAACATAAAACTTAGTCTTAACCAAAAGGCCAGGGAGTGAGGGGGTAGCCGCCCACTAGAGCATACCTTTAGCTACCCTCTTAGACCATCGTACTATGAAGWCACTKATAGAWATCTGATACCTAATTGGGATAGTCTWTTCGGCGAAGTTCTATKMTAATATATGACGTCACCWTAATCCTTAGGGAGTAACGAACCAATCAGAGCTCAGCTCCGAATCAACATCGTTTGTGCAATTAATGAATTGTCGGTAGATTTATTATTTGAWGGGGGTGGTGTKGGGCTAGAGTACTGATTTACCGCCGAATACCACGAATTCAATAGAATAAAGCTTCCTTTGACGTTCCGTTTTCAAGACATGAAAGGGACAACAATATATAGTTTTCATAATAGACAGCCATTACTAGTATGTGGATAGCAAACGTCGACAAAAACACTCTTGAAATCCTTAACGTAAGATGTTTACAGACCGACTGCAGACGTCTTCATCCAATATGGCGGCTGTCATGACGWGACGTCAGTATGGCTCTAAATAGGCTCGCTGGTATAACCAAGGTAATCACATTTATTTGTTGTCTTCAAACTAAAGGATATTATTAAATGAATCTTGCATAAGCATACTTTAGTTTAGTTTATTTTTTATTCTTATTTAACGAGAACTACTAGCTAATATCTAAATTTTTGCATCATTTTGGAGACACGGGCGGCTCGATACAAATTCGTGAATATTCTCAGCCATTATTCTACGGGTCATACCAAATTTTTGGACCGTTTTACGTCTATTGAGCTAAGTGTTTTAATTAAACTCCATTGTGGCGCTCTTTCGCAATCATAAACTTGAGTATGCATTTCGTTTTTGGAAGGTAATGTTTTGGAATCAAAATTATAGCTAGAAATCTGCAACGCTAAAGCTTTCTGAAAAAGCGTGATAAATTTCTACCTGGTGAAAATGAGACAAAAATCAAAACTGTTACACTCAAGGAAGAGTGATCTTATTAGAATAGTTTTCAAATAACCCGCCAAATACACTGAGAGTACCATACTCTATTACTCTATTTTCATGTTTTCTTTGTCTATTCGGTGTATCAAGATCTTTATTACACCGGCTGAGACTATTAAACCTTCTTATCGTGGGTTAATGGACAGGGCCGTAGCTAGGGGGAGCACAGGTGCACGTGCACCCCCCCTCCCTCCCCCACCATCAGTGCATTTCATTTTTCAATCACGAAAGAGAGTCGCAATGTTACTCATAGGTCCGTTTTTTATTTGATGTGCTCCCCCCGATAAATCTTCTGGCTACGGCCCTGATGAAAGCCACTCAATGTTTGCTGGTGAGGACTATTGGTCTTAATGAGATTTTTCCAGAATTCATGAAATTTTTTTGCAATTCACATAATGAACTGTTGCTAATTGATTTGTTTGAGCTTAAGAAAATTCACCGTTGAGTCTTTCTTTTTATAGAAAAAAATTAAAATTTCCTAGTCGTCACTGAAATTAAAATTTCCTAGTCGTCACTGAATCTAGGACTGAGCGGATGAACAGTAACACTCGCGTATTCTGTTGGGTAATATGGAGTCGGTTTCTTAACGGGCTCCGTTGAGTTGGCTGAGAATTCAGCAATCTCTGCATACGTCACATCGTGCTCTTCATTTTCCTGCAAAGAAAGAGAATAAAAAGAACATACATACTATCCGTTCACACGTAAACCACTGGCACTGATATTCAAACATATTTTTAAGCGTTTCCATTCTGAGGAGTGTTCATCTGAAATTTGTGTGGAGGACAAGTGTGCAAGCGATACGTCAATCATACATATTATGCATGTTGTGGGGTCTTTTTTTTCTTACTTACTTCATTATTATCGTTCACTTCAGCATACAATCCATCATCAGGTTTCTTGGTTTCAGTTTCACTAATTGTTGCATATGTGAATATTTCTGATGACTTTTCGTCTACTGTAGTAAGATTACCCTGCTGTTCTACGATCTCTTCACCATAAAAAACATCATCTTCTTCTTCCACTTTGGTAATAAATGTTGTAAGGAYCTTTGTATCTGGCTTGTCGGTTARTTCTTGTTCTTCGTTTTGASCTTTGCCCTCTTCTTTGTCTTCTTCATGTGTTTTATTTGGAAAATCACTTTCCTTGATATATACATTTTTAGTTTCACACACAGCRTAAGGATTCTGTTCATGGATTTYCGCAGCCTCTTCGATATTTGTCTTAATTGTYTCAAGTTTCTCGGGGACTGAATTATTATCGACCAGGTTATCGTGTGCAACTGYATTTCCCTGRTCAGATAAYTCYTCTGGATATTGGTCATACATATATTGCACATCCAAAGCCACATCTAGATTGTTGACAGAACCTTTTCTGAAGAATACAAGTAAACGATAACATCAAGAAGCAAGAAAAGCCGAGGAGAAAAAACAAAGGAACTCACCGTCGTTGACTTATGCTATGTTCTCCTGAAATTCAAAGTATCAAAATCAAGCGACCGCACATCGATGTCTGAATGATCAGTTTGCAATGATATTTATTTGAAACCGGCGGGATGACCGTCGCATATTAATAGGGGTCAGAATCAAGGATCTTTAGAAAGGGTTTTGTGAACAAAAGCGAACAAAACTGTTAAATTTGCTGATAAGCTGATATGTCTAGGTACATTCAATTATTGTAACTATGTAAAACCAATACAATGGTGATAGTACCCTTTGTTGATCATCTTTTGTTACCACACCCATCAAGACTTAACTACAGCACCGCCGTTTAGGAGTAATTTTAATGATTTTCGACGCTCATCTCTACCCTACGATAGATATAGGATTTAGCCCCTCCCTCGTATTGGAGTGTAAAAGAGCCATGCATGAGAGAGCAACAATTATTTGGTGACAGTTAACGTTCAACCAACGATTGATTGACTTGCAAAAGCATTAGCGATGGATGAATGTATTCCAGTCCTACTAACAAGACCGATTAAGTACGTTTACTGGATCTCACTGTACCTCTTTTCCTTGATTTGTTTATCCAGACAGCAATGAGAACACAAACACACACAAGAAGAATAATTACCAAAACCACCACCAAYACATTGTATGGAAACTGTTTCTTAGCTGGCTTTACACTTCTTTCATCTACAAAGATAACGATGATGATAAAACTTAATAGAAAGAAAATCGTAAATGTAGAAATGGATGAAATAAACCTGCAGGTCATTACACAGTATTATTTCACTGACCATCAAACTCATCGACTCAAATTAAATCCGCGATCTGTCAGCTGGTATTTAAGAAGTGGTCATCGATTTGGCCTTCACTGATAAGAGCCGGTCGTTTAGTGCTCTTAAACAACGAAACTTTGTAACGGCTACAACGTTAACTCAGCGTTCAATCATGATTCGAGGTTGTTCAGTAAAACTATAAGCGATAAGCATTGGAGATACGTGTACGGTAAGACGCAGCGTGCAGATGATATATCGTATAGCTTCACCCGACCTTAAAATACATGTGGAACTAGATAACATGTATACTGACCAGAGAGAGTACAGAAGAATCTCCTTTGACGTCAGTGACGTACGGATGTTCGTTAAGGTATCTGTAAAGGCCCACGTGCACGCAAGAAACTTTGCGCAATTTTCTTACATACGATAATTTGCCATCTTTAATTTTGAACCAATNAAATGTAGAACCCGCTAAATATCGGGGAAACCCGCCCACAATGCCGAAAGTAGCGCTTGGATGTGGGAAACCAAGTTGATTACTGCTCATGCTCAGATGGAGATATCTTCATCAATTATTCATTTTTGATATTTTTTTATTTATTTCATGTTTATTGTAGTTTCTTAGGTTTGGGTTTTAGAAGTCATTTAAAAAACTCGTAGTTCGTGTTTTATCGTGGTTATAAACACTCGGCCTTCGGCCTCGTGTTTTATCTCACGTTCTAAAATATTTAGGATACTACGCGCGCTGTGATTGGTCGAAAACCATGTTTGATTACAGTATCAAAACACGCTCGCGCGCGTCAAAAATTTCTTTTTTCCCGCCATTTGCATTTGTTGTTGTTATCATTCATTTTCAAGAAAAATGAACGAAGAAATGCCTATTTATGATGTCCTCTGGGATGATATCCCAGAAGAAGAGCTATCAAACGTTTTAGAATCTACAGAAGCTGCAGACAACTGCAATGTAAGGAGAATTCATCGTTTCATATCGTATCAAAAGTCAGAATTCTTTACAATTTTCGTATTCTTTTAATTTTAGAAAAGAAATAAAAGACGAAATTCCGTGTTTGATACTCTGATCAAAACACTTGGGATGTAGGGAGAGCACTCGAAAAGCTGGAAACCACTCCGCTACGCGTCGTGGTTTCCTACGCTTCTCTCGTGCTCTCCCTACATCCCGCGTGTTTTGATCAGAGTATCAAACACGGAATTTCGTCTTTTATTCCTTAATTATAAAACTTTGCAGAAAAAAATGCACATAGTATTGCGATCAGCAGATTCGCCAATCCGGCGATAACAAAAAGTTCGCTCCCTTCACCTGTAAGAGTAGATTTACACAAAAATAGTCTTCCGAGCAACGCAGTAGTTGATTGTGAGCGAAGGACGGCTCCAGTTACTGAAGTTTATAGCAGTAATACTCGAACATATGAAATACAAAGATGAGTACTCGCGAACTATGCCGAAACTATGGTTTCCCGACTGTTATGCTAAACTAAACATGCATGGATGGAAACACTCAAGTTTAATCGCCCGAAAACATGACCCATCTGTTAAACTCTGTATGGGGCCTCAGCATTTTACAAATAGATTCAATTTTCCGTGCAAATAAAATCAGAAGAACAAAAACGTATGTAAACGTGCAATGTGTACGACATTCATCTTAGCAGTTTCATCCACAAGCATTTGTAGTTTTACCTAGATTTGAAAATTTCCTTCTTTTTTCCTTGTATGCAACATTTTTTTTGGCTTAGGGTGGTGCCAGTTTTTTTTTTCAGGTCCATATGTTGTGCACGATTTTTATTTTTGGTGAAGATGTCTTGCAGGATTTTTTT